GAGACCAGAGAGAGACCAGAGAGAGACCAGAGAGAGACCAGAGAGACCAGAAGAGACCAGAGAAAGCTTTCTCACACATGTATCCTGCAGAATTGTCTCTCTCTACTGTCTTGTTTTGTGTGTGGCCGTACAAATAACCGAACTACAAACAAGGTGAAGGAATGTGTTCTTAGAAATGAAGCTGAGGCGCAACTTCAGACTGGAAGACAAGAAAACTAAACCACAGGGCTCAAAGTCCAACAGCATCTGTCAATCACACTGAGCTGCAGCGCCACACTGCCCTCTCCTGCAGCAATCAGGCACTGCACACATCAGCTTCAAATAACACAGAAGCTCCATCCAAGCAGCAGCTTCATTCATACCACAACCCTCCTCCTCCCCATCTCCGCCTCGTTCCAGCTCCTTCATCCTTCTCCTCGCTCTCACCCGGGTCTAGCTCCCGGGGATTTCCTCTCATAATATAAAGATATTTATATCTGATCATCATCAGGTCTCTGTCGGGGTCCAAGACCAAATCCTAACAACATTCTGTGCAGCACAATAATGTAATGTTGTGTGATTTATGTGGAGTCAGATTACTGCCAACAATAAACTATTCTAATAATACTGTTGTGTCTGTTTGAGTCTGTGCAGATTGAAATGTTCAGCTGTGAGAAACCCAATGCTCTTTTTGTCATTGTTCGTTGAATGTTCTATAACGATAGATTTTGGTCCAATCTGCAACAATATCTGATATGTTTCTAATAGTTCCAGTTTTTTCCCTGTTTCTTGAACACTATAGACTGTGACATTTTGTGGTTGAAAACTGCACTTAGTGTCATTCCAACCAAACCGACCTTAAAACAGTCATCTTCAGTTTAGCAGATGGTTATGAAGGTAAGACTCAGGGAAGGACTACCCTGCCCGACCCGCCTGGGAGTGCTTCAATCCTGCACTGGACCTGTCCATGCTCTGTGGACGCTGCGTGGCCCTGGTCCACGTTCTGTAGCTTAGGTCCTGGATCTACGCAGTCCTCTATCTACAGTCTGAGTCCTGGATCTACAGCCTCAGTCCTCGTTCTACAGTCTGAGTCCTGGATCTACAGCCTCAGTCCTCGTTCTACAGTCTGAGTCCTGGATCTACAGCCTCAGTCCTCGTTCTACAGTCTGAGTCCTGGGTCTACAGCCTCAGTCCTCGTTCTACAGTCTGAGTCCTGGATCTACAGCCTCAGTCCTCGTTCTACAGTCTGAGTCCTGGATCTACAGCCTCAGTCCTCGTTCTACAGTCTGAGTCCTGGATCTACAGCCTCAGTCCTCGTTCTACAGTCTGAGTCCTGGGTCTACAGCCTCAGTCCTCGTTCTACAGTCTGAGTCCTGGATCTACAGCCTCAGTCCTCGTTCTACAGTCTGAGTCCTGGATCTACAGCCTCAGTCCTCGTTCTACAGTCTGAGTCCTGGATCTACAGCCCGTTCGTCCGTGTGGAGCAGATCCCTCTCTTAATGTGAATCTGAGGTTTCTCACTTTTCTCCCACTGGGTTTTAGAGTTTTTCCTCTAATGCAGGAGTCTGTTGGACTGTCAGTGTCTAACAAGAAGGACTGTGATAATCCAGGACATCCCCACATGTATATGTATATTTCTATATCTAGTTTAATGTGTATTTAAGTTTGGCTAAACTTTGAAGGAATGAAAATAAAAATAAAAATCTTATAAATTGTTCACTTCCTCATGTGTCCACTGGAGGGCGGGAGGGGGAG